TGGGTCCCTGACTTTGAGGTAGAAGTTTTGTTGAGGCATGACTCTCAAGAGGGAGTAGCAAAAGAGGATATCGTTCGGTCCAACATTTATCCCGAGACACTTGTTGAGCTCTAAGACTCCCATAATTATTCTGAAGCCATTAAGGCAACACTGCCCGGGGAAAAGGTGGAAATGGGAGAGGAACTGGAGGAGTAGAGGGGGCAGAGGGAGCCTAAGTCTGCCCTCTATAACGGCTTTGGTATAAAAGGGCATCTCATCCTCGGCCCCGAGGGTACGGGAATGCAAAGCCGGATTATAATCCTCTATGTCTACATATGGAGGGATGTTATACTTGACCCTAAACCTATTAATTTGCTCGCCCCCCTTCACTTTATATTTCCCTAGCCTCGAAGAACTGGCCTGAGGATTCTCGGGGGCAGGGCAACGACGAGACATCTCCAAAAAGTGATAAAAAGTGAAGAAAGAGGGGATTTTTCCACAAAGAACCCCAAGGAGGCTTCCCGAGGATTGGTCGCTGAGTGGCAACCAAAAATGCCTCCAGTTATCGGAAAACCAAAAGGAACAAAAAAATGAGAAGAAGAGAAGAGACGGAGGGCGAAGAAAGGGAAGTACAAGGACTCACTAGAACGTAAAGAAAGTTTTTCTTGAAACTTGAAGCGACTCCTTCCTCCAGAATGTTCAGAAGTAAGGATGGGTCTGCTGGCCTTAAGACTCCGGTGAAAGATTGGACAATAGACAACGAAAGGAAATGGATCTCTGACGAGGTTTCAGGCAAGGGCTCTCTGAAGATATTCGAAATGGCAAAGTGAGAGAGGGAGAGAGGAAGCCCATTTATATAGTACTCATCCCCATCATTTGGGCACGAAGCACGAAGAGGCGCATTTAATGAGCACGACCTCCGAAAGAAGGGGAAAGCGGATGAAGGCAATGATGAAGTAATTGGGGTAGTTGCAGAACCCTTCGTCTCCTTACGACGCGTGTCCACGGTGTCAGGAGATCGAAGGTTGGGGGGCAGTTGATGGGACATTTTCAAATACTCCAAGATGAAGACACGTGTCCTTGGCATCAATAAATTCTTGTTACTATAATCACGACACGTACCCGTCGGATCATAAGTCCCTGTTCCCCCGAGGTACTGTTCATAGGGATCAATGACACTCAGTACGTTACGTACCGACACGTATCCCTCGGTCGGATATGAGTACATCGGTCCCTACATGTACCACTCCCCTCGGTACCGAGATGTACCCGTCCAGGATGGCGTTCTCTGCTCCTGCAGAGGCTATTGATGTACAGGTCACTAGCTTAGGCTAGGTTAGGTTAGCCATCATGACCTCGTCTTATACAATTGGTGTCAGAAGGCACGAAAAGGCAGAAGACACAACCAGTGGGGAATAGGCGCGTGGCATATTGTGTCACATCAGAGACAAAAAGACCGGATGCCCTTGCTGACACACGACTTAGGAAAGCAAGCATTTAATTACACCATTCTCTTGATGAGACAACATTTAATACGGTAAGGCTCGGAAGTGAAAGGTAATAAATGTCCCTAAGACTGGACATTTATTACATCCTTGCCGAGAGGAGCTCATTAAACAGTCGGTAGGCCGATGACGCAGCCTTGGTTGCTCGGGATCCCGAGCAGTTAAAAGAGAAGACATTCCTCATAGGAATCAGTGCGCACGTTGCCCGTATCTAATGATCACCTACTGATCACACTGACATCAATCATGAGTTTTTGAGGTATAAATACTCCTCACAAAAGGCAAAACGGTATGCAACGAAAAACCTTTTCTCAAACCTATGCTTAGTGTTTTCTTTTTCCCCTCTCTTAAAAATTGACTTGATCGTCGAAGGGGATACGCCGAAAAACACTCCGACGCCCTTCTAACTTGTCTTTCTCTGTTTCAGGAACCTCCTTCAGCCTTACTGGACCGCTCCCTTAATCCATGAAAGTCACTCATTACCATTCCAGGCCACCAACGGATCTCAGCCTGTTCTAAATAGTAAGGTTGACCATTTGATTGACTGACTCGAGTTCACTACGGGAGAGATCTGTTCTCGTGTTTATATTGTGCAAGATCTTGCACGCACACTTATCTTCATGCAACATGGTTTTTTAGAGCATCTCCTCCACATTGTAAACAAAAATTTAATTTGATATTAAGCATTCCAACGAAGAAACTCAAAGTTAAAAGATGATTATCAGGGCGTCCCAATGTCAACAAGAGTCATAGGCAAAAACTTCACGAGTACTATTAATATTTCGTGTCAACCATCCCGTCATTTGTAACCTTAGGAAGGTATTGAGTAAGGGATGACCTTCTAATAATGCGTCTATCCTGTCATTCCCGACTTTAGGAAGGAATGGACTATTTAGAAAGAATGAGATAAGGGCTATATATATATGTACTAGTTATTGTCCATGTCTGAAGGTATTATGGTACTTATAAAATTTCAATGCACAAAAATAGGATGTTTGAATAATTTCAACGAATAGCGATTAGATTGGTTTTGAACATTTTTTGTTGGTGCAATTGATATCTTATTTTTTTCGTATTGGTCACTTATTCTTTTTTAATTGCTGATTAACTTGGGTTTTGATTTTTTTTTTATTTTCTGATAACTATAGGTTTTTATACAGATTTATTTTTAGTATGAATAATAACTTGATGATTTTATTTATGGATTATAAAAATAATTTAAACTTTATTGATTGATAAGAAGGAAGAATTAAACATCAATCATCGGTACTAAAATGCGTGATAAGAAGATCTACTTATAGTGTACTCTAGATATGAATCAGTTTGTAGTAAGAATGATGAAAAATTATATAGTAAATATATAATGGTTTTTAATGAAATATTATACCAAAAGTTTTGAAAAAATCGATATACTAAATAATTTACATGTCCAAAAATAGTGACATTGTTCATTTGGGTACTGGTTTTTGTATTGTAGTGACGGAGTGTATGCAATTATTGGGGTCAAATATTAAATTGTCAAACTTTGAAAAAAAAACACTAAACTTAGAGATATTATGTATTTTATGTGTGTTTAATATAAATATTTTTAATTTTATACAAAGTTTTATCGTAAAATTAAAAATTAAACAAAACCAACTTAAATCAAGGTACAAACAATACACTTTTAACATATAACATTTAGATCATTTAATTTAAAATAAATTCAATCTGAGTTGTTATTGTGCTTTTTCAAATTTAAGATAAAAACGTATGAGAGATAGGAGTGTAGAGTCTTACGATAAGAGGCTTCTTCACTGGCGAAAAAATAAATTCAAGATTAACTGTAGACCGTTAGATTAAAATTTTTGAGATGATCTGAACTGTCTTTTATGTTGGGATTACGTTGTTCGTTAGATGTGTTTATGTTTTATCTCCTATATATTTTTCCACATCACCTATTTCTATCATATGTTCAATCATTTAATATTTGATTAATTTATAGTTTAACATAATTTTTATTTTAGATATTATTCATATACAATAATATACATATGTTGAATTTTTTTTATCAAATTACGTATTTTGATAAAATTTAGTCAATATTTTTTTGATTTTGAATGATATAATCAAATAAATAAAGGAACAAAAAATTATTATTTAATCTAGTGAGATCAATTTTTTTTGGCTCGAATTTTATGTTTCGTCGTGCTTTCAAGTACGGGTGATGACTAGTATATATATATATATATATATATTATTTGTAATTGTCATAATTTAACTTTTTATTTATTTAAAAATTATTTTCCTTGCATTTTGAGATGAAAAAATATATTGATCAAATTCTTAGTTAATAAATATTTCTCAATAGATAATATAATTAATACATTTAATTTTTCTTGTGACATAGTTGACCGTAAATAAGATTTTATCAATTGAAGTTTTGAAAAACTTTTTTTTTGCGTATATGATTTTTACTAGTATTGTTAACAAAATTCTATAAGTAATGTTTGCATTCAAAAAATAACTTATTCTTTTTATGTAGTTTAATATGTCAATTAGAGTGTTGGTTTCAATTTTTAAAATATCTTTGAGAGATAGAGGTTTGAGTTAGAGTTTTTTTTGGGATAGATATAAAATTCTTATATTTATAATATAGTTCATGTTTTAAGGATTTTATTGGGTTTAACCAAATGAAAAATAATTTTGAGCTTAACAAAGTTAGACATTAATCTAACCCCTTAAAATTTGAGTCTTATCTAAAACTCAAAATAAGAAAAAAAAATAAAATTGTATCTAACATATTTAAGGGCTAAAGTTTTTAGGGCCCTTCTAAAAGTGGGGCCCTAGATAGCCACCTTAGTGGTCTACGCCTAGAGTCGATCCTATTAATAATTTTAGATTTAAACGAGGATAAACATAAATTTAAAGGACGATAAAATATGATTATTAGATAGTTAAAAGAGAATAACATCTAATCATTTTGTAATTTGAGTAAATACTTAAGTCTCATTTTATTTGATATGAATTTGAGTATAACATTGAAGAAAATTTTTAGAGATTTTTAAAAAAAAAAATTTAAATATGAGTTTTAAAAAGATTTGGGGTGGAGATGTAATTATTGTAAAGTTTTTGAAGGGTAAATTGCACCAATGTTATTTAAGGTTAGTCAATTATTACGCTTAATTGTGTAAGTTGAGTCGGTTGATATTTGAGAGTCGTAGAGAAAAATGACATTTTTCAGTATAAAAAAATTATAAATTATGAATTTTGTATTATTTGATTAAAATAAATAAAAATTTAATAAATCTTGACTGTTATTTGTGTTTTTATAAATTTAAAATTCAATTTCTAGCCGCATAATAATAGATTAACTAAAAAAATTAAAATGAAAAATAAATTTAAGGGAAGACCCGAATCTAATCGTTATACACGTGGCAACCTCTTGTGCAATCAATTCTCTTTCGGAAGATGCATAATGTTAAACCCTAAAACAACCCGCCGACTCTATCTTTGCTGCTATAAACCCTACACTCCGATCATCTTCGGCAGGCCTAATGCAACCTTTTTGGCCGCTCTGAGAAACAAAGCAGAGAACAGTAAAAGATAGAATGGGGATACCTTCATTCTACCGTTGGTTGGTAGAGAGATACCCACTCTCAGTCGTCGGAGTAATGGAGGAAACTCCGGCCATCGTCAATGGCGTTAAGGTCCCAATTGACACGAGCCAACGAAACCCTAATGGCATCGAATTCGACAACCTCTATCTTGATTTGAATGGAATTATTCATCCATGTTTCCATCCAGAAGGCCTGGTATACATAATCAATCGTTGTATACGAATGATTTTGATTCTTTGTTTTGTGCCATATAGTTGGTAAAATAACTGCATTTAGAGTCTTAGACGAATATGTTTATCTGCAGCCTCCTCCGGCGACGTATGATGAGGTATTCAAGGCGGTGTGCAAGTATATTGATAGAATCTTCTCAATCGTTAGACCTCGGAAACTTCTATACTTGGCAATTGGTTAGTGATCAATCAATCGTAGAGTATTCAAGCAATTTATTATTTTATGTTTTAATTTTTCTGTCTGCAGCAAAAATGGAAGATTCAAGCAAGGTTCCTGGTGGTTTTAAAAGCATATTGTTTTCAGTTTAGTTAGATGTTTGAAGTTCTTGATGAAACGAACATGCTTTTTGATACGAAGGCCAGATTTGCGAGGGAAAATTTATGCTTAGAAACTAACCGAGAACTTTCGTCTTGTTTGAAATTGTAAATGATTTATTTTTCATGATTTCAAAGTGTTACACCGTGTACAGATGGTGTTGCACCACGTGCTAAGATGAATCAGCAGCGTGCAAGGCGTTTCAGAGCTGCTAAAGATGCAGCTGATGAAGTAAGTGTATTAAACTTGTATGTTTTCGATATACAGTTTGATTACTGTACCTTCTCTCTTTAGTTTTGGAAAAGTTGTAATTTGATTACTGTTAGGCCTCTGTAAAAGAGAGGTTCAGAGGGCTCCGTAGATTGGAAGGGGAAATCTTAGCTACCCAAAAGCTGGATTCAAATGTTATTACACCTGGAACTGAATTCATGGCCTTGTTGTCTTTGGCTCTTCGTTACTTCGTACACATGAGAATGAACAAGGATCCTGGATGGCGGGGAATCAAGGTAAAATTGTAACTTCTGAGGCACTGACTCTAATGCTGTCTGTTAAGGTCCATAGAAGACTCACCGATGTGATTACATGGGGATCTTGCTAGGTTATTCTTTCTGATGCCAGTGTACCTGGTGAGGGGGAACATAAGATAATGTCTTACATCCGATTGCAAAGAAATCTACCTGGATATGATCCAAACACAAGACATTGTTTGTATGGATTGGTACATGGCATTCTTTTTATCCATATAAATTAGCTACATTGCAGATGGTAATCAGCTTTATATTGTGCTATAACCATATACTATATTTTTCTTTTAGGATGCAGACTTAATCATGCTTGCATTGGCTTCCCATGAAATCCACTTCTCAATATTAAGAGAGGTCTGTCTATTTGTAAATTTTACCGGTCTTCTCTCTGTTTTAGTTTTATTTGCTGTGTGTCGTAAAGTCGTAAACAGTATTATTTAGAAGTAACTGCAAGGTTTTTTTTGTTTGTCTTTCATGATGTAGGATGTCCGCAAGGAACTAACAAATCATAGAAATTCAAAACAAAATATGTGGAAAACAAGGGGTGTGTTAGGGCAAGGGAAATTTTGTATCAAGAATGTAGAGGACTTCATCGTAAGGCAAAAGTTTCAGGTTGGCTTTTTTTCTTCTCTTCTTTATGCAATACTCACTTTCATTGGTTTCCTCGCAAATTGCATGATTTCATCTTGTGCAAGGATGCTGAACTCAACCAATATGATGTGGAAATAAAGCACCGCTAAAAGAAGCTTACCTCTCATGTAGTCATGTAAGATCAAAACTTTAAAGCTAAGAATAGTACTGCCAACTATTGATTCAGTGGTGAACTTTCTCTGTGAAATGTTTGAAGATGTAAGGGAGATTATAGGGTTCATGAAATGAAAGTTGTGGTATTGTCTTGGTTTTAGAAGTGATAAGTCTCCATGTTTCTGTGAAATGTTTGAAGATATAGAAGGGAGGTTATAGGATTCGTGAAATGGAAGTTTTGGTGTTGTCTTGATTTTAGAACTGATAGGTCTCCATGTTTTCTTTACCATTTCAAAACTGTTCCCTAGTTATGACTGATCAATGCATGTACGACTGCACTGACATTTGATGATGCCCTGCTTAGGAGGATATGTTGGATCTACATAAGGCTGATACAAGATATGCAAGTTGATAGATACACAAAATAGTTGTTTGGGGTGTCATTATCGAGATATTGCACTATTCTATTTTGTAAATCAATAGCATTCAATGTAAGACAGATGCAAATGGTCTTTATCTTATATTGCTGCTGTGATCTATTGACAATTTTTCAACTGCTTTGTAATTTTCTTACTCTCTCTCCCTCTCTCTCAGTTTCTCAACATATGGGTACTCAGGGACTACCTAGCACATGACCTACTGATACGAGATCCAGCTGTGAAACCAGATTTTGAGCGTTTGATAGATGACTTTGTCTTCATGTGTTTATTTGTTGGAAATGACTTTCTACCCCATGTGCCATCGCTGGAGATATCGGAGGTGGGCATGTATAAAATGCTAATATATCTCTCAAGAAAGTGATTTTTGGGGTAATTCTACTTAGTTTTTGTACTGCTTAGTTTTGTTTTGCCTTATGATAGTTTTCTTCTAGGGTGCTATAGACTTACTCATGCTTGTCTACAAAAAGGAATTTGTTCAAATGGGTGGTTATCTGACTAACTCTTTTGAGGTATGTGACCAAAATTCTCTCATTCATGCTCTTTCATCTCCTCATTTTGTTTTCGTTCCAATGTTGAAAACTTATTTCCCATGTTTTGATTGTGCTGGACTCTTGGAACTTCGAAGTATTAGGGTAACGTGTTTGTCAGTTACTTTATCTACTCATGGAGCAGTACAAAACTCTTCTAATCTATTTCACATACCTTTTCTCCAAAATTTGGACCTGGTAACCTAAATCTTTATCTGCCATTGGAGTTTCATCTTTGGGCTGTTTAAGATTTAAACAGATTTCTTGGTGGACAAGCTAGAGTTAATAAGAAATTTGCTTCTGCTAAAGATAAACTTGAGCAAGCAGCCTTATTCGAATAGCAGTCAGAGACGTATGTCAAACTATGGACAATTCTTAGACAATCTTACATGGTTCAGTTTCAGTAAAATTGTAGGGTCAACCGCTTTATTCTAGCTTGGTTTGAGATGAGCTTGATTAGGGGCTAACTTGGGCTCTTTAGGGTGGGGGGATTAAAGCACCAAGCTCGAGATTGACAAGATCAAACAAGCAACACTCGACATTAGTCTGTCTATACTTGGGTAGAGGCTCATTTAAAATCTCTTGCTGAGTAACTAATCAAAAGCTTATTCTTACTTTGGAGCTTACTTAGTTTTCAGTTCAGGCTCTCTGCCATGATAAGCTCATGACCGGCCTGAGATTAGATTGAGATTGGTTCGACTTGAAGCTCATTCAAGATTACCCATGGATGGTGGGCTACCTTTGATCCTAGTTTGAAGCTTGTTCCATTCTTTCACTTATAAGATGTGAGAATATCAAATGTGGGTTTCCAACTTGCTAGGGGAACTTCTTCATGCACTGAGCAGAGGATCATAGATAAAACATCTCCCTGTCATTTGTATTTTTCAGTGGCCTTTTACAAACAGATTACTTACTCGAACACTTATAAACATTCCGTTTGGCCTCTTTTGTAACTATTTGTTTAATGCATATAGGCTACATGACATACCATTAAATAACTCCTGCTGGGCTACAATTAGGACTGTACATCATGAATGTCATTAAAATATTGTGATGCTGTCAAAGCTATACAAGACTATTTTAGACCACACTATCCTCGTATGAACTTGTATTCTTGATATAAATTGCCTTCTTCTCTGGCCAGGAGCCTGGGAATTATTTGCATATGGAAGTTCCCCATTGCTTATTATTTTTCTCTGTTTGAAATCTTGGAATGTAAAGGGTGTATTTTTAATATTAGCGTGTTTATGTTTCTAGCGATAATTTTCCCTAGTTTATTTAATTTCTAGGTAAATTTAGAATGTGTGGAGAAGTTTGTACAAGCTGTGGGTTCCTATGAGAATGCTGTCTTCAGAAAACGGTGCCAGGTTTTATCTACAACTCCATAATGTTGTTCTGCTTGGATGTCCCGTGAATAATTGGTTTTTATGCACTACCCTTCCTCCTCTCCCCCTCCTGTTCAAATAGCAAGAAAGAAAGACAAAGAAAATTCTATTGATTTGCCTGTTTGCAAGTCCTAGCGTACCTTGACAACTTTCTGTGCTTAGGATTTTTTGGCTTCTGAGATTAGAGTTTTATGTATATATTTGGAGTTTTTTGTTGTACTTCTTGTAGCAACAATCAGAGTGCAGTGAACCATTTTTTGGAGAAATGGCTGGAAATCAGTATTCATATGGTTTAAAATTGCACAACATATTTGATGGGGCGTCTCACACTTTCATTTTAGCTTTTTTGAATTTGAGATGCAATTACATTGTCAAGTGTTTCAGTTGTTAAATCATAGTGGACTGACTTGTATTATCAGCATTTGAAGAATATAGTGCACTGTTATTGAAGCTAACTCCAAAAATGTTGAGATAAGATCTTGTTGAGTTGAGTTGTCTGTTGTTATTGAAAATTAAGCAACAAAACTATTGACGCACAAAATTTATGTGTAATTCATTTAGTAGCTGTATTCCTTCTAGAATATCACGTAATGATGATGAGTGCAAATGTGGCCACTGGCATCATCCCACCCGTCGTAGATGTATCAAACCTTAATCCTCTGGCCCACTTCTCTTTCCTATAACAGTAGTTAAAGATGACGTCATTACAGATATTGGAATCTTATATGACAGTGTCATTTACTCAGGTAAAAAATGAAAGGGAATTTCGCTTCCGAGGTTCTACAGCCAATGTAAGTATAATGTATTCACATTTTCAAGTTGGGATTTCTGATTCTGGATGGAAGCTGCATCCCATTGATTGAAAATGCTCATTCTATGATTGCCTCTGAATCAGGGTGTTCATAAGCGGATTCAGAGCTCAACCATTCATACTTCTGATGATACAAATTCTGCCAATGACAAGGTTGCTTAACCTTGTGTTTCTGCATAGATCTTACCCGAAATGTATTGTTTATTATTTTCCAACTCCTGAGATCTTGAATTCAAGTCTTGGTTGTCAGATTAAGCTGGGTGAAGAGGGTTGGAAGGAAAGATACTATACCGAAAAGTTTGTGGTTGAAACTGACGATGACCGTGTGAGAGTTCAGAGTTGTGCGGTAAGGAAATTGAACTATTTTAGGTGTTCGGTTACCTCTATGGACCTTAGGGTTATATAGCTTGACCTTGTTTTCATCATATTATTACCTTGAAGTTGCCAATGGGCTCAGTTTGATAAAAGTTTTGCATTACCTGCTATGTATCTTGGGTGAGGATCATTTGTTTTTTGCATTTTTTTCCATATTTAATCACTCTGACCTTGGGGAAGAGCATTACTCCTGTTAAATTTTCCTCCTTCCTGTTTTGTTTCCTCGTTGTATCAGCTTCCACTTGAAATCTGATGGGCTACCTTTCTTGAATCCATGAATTTGAAGTAGTACTTTTCTTTCAGTTATCTCCTTGTCGTGTTTGCTTCATTGACTGTTGTAATTGGTGTAGGTCTTGAAATACATCGAAGGAATTTGTTGGGTTATGCATTATTATTACCAAGGGGTATGTTCATGGCAGTGGTATGTGCTACAGTCTCCCATTTTTTATCAATTCATGTATTTCCATGCTACCTTACTATGTTTGTTTAATACCTTATCCGCAAAAGGTATCCCTAATATGTATGTGATTTAAACTTGTTGACATTGCCACTTGGGCTTCAGTCATTGGATTGCAGACAAGTGACATAGGGAGGGAGAGCAGTATTGTAAAATAAAGACTTCGTGAAGATTGGTCATTTTGATTTTGTGACATCATTGAAATCTTCTGATACGTTGTTCATTTGTTTGACTATTTACCCAAAAGTTTTCCGAGTCACTTAGGAAATTGCTGTGTTTGGAGGGAGAACTTAGAATTAAGGAATGATGTGAAATCAAGAAAATGGCTATGATTCAAAGGATATATATATTTGAACGCAGAACGGTTTATGTATGCTGCTGCAACCCTTGAGAGGCAGCTGCTTAGGGCCCCCAATTTAGAAGGGCCCCATAATATGTATAAAATGGTACATGTAATCTGACCCAAAATGAAAAAAGCCAAATAGAATAGGATAAGTAGGCTCAAAATAAATTTTTAGAAAATATAATTGGACACCCTCATCTCTCTTCATTAATGCCTCTGCCAACTACTGCCCCCCCCCCCCTCTCTCTCTCTCCATTTAATGACCCTTTAAGTTGTCGACATTTGCATAATTAAAGAAACATAATGACATTATTCACCCAAAATAACTTTAACTAACCCAATTGTTCTATTCTTACTAAATTATGAAATAAATTAAATTTCTATCTTATTATAGTTATTTATTGATTTGTAATTTATTTTTTAAATATTTTTAAGTTTGGATATGTTCATTCGAAAGTATAAATCACAGTATGAAAGGCATAAAAAAGAGAGAGTGAATGATTAATTCAATCCAACAAGGGAGAGTCATTGATATATTTATTACCACTAAACAGAAAAATATGACAATAACTTGAATCGAAGATTTAGCGGTTGAACAATCCATCACTTTTAACACTAACAAATAACGAAACAATTGTACAAAAATATTATAATGAGTGTCAAGCAATTTAAAAGTGAAACAAATAAAGATGAAGATGTTAAAAAAACATAGTGGATCATATTGTGGTAAATATTTATGTTTCAGGACAGGAAGCGAGACAAATATTTTTGAATAAAATTATTTATAAATTACTTTAGTACTTATAGTAAACTTTTGAGAGTCATATTTAAAAACATTTAAATATTTGTGGGGAGTCCAACTAGCTCACTTTATGGGGAATGCACCTTGTAGTTGATTGCTTGAACTTTTTGATGTAGATCGTAGTAGGAAAGAATTAGGGATGAGAAGAGAAGAAGAACGAGATGAGAAAAAGAAGAAAAGGATGAGAAAAGAGAAAGAATTTGAGAAGAATGCAATATCAGTATGCAATAATAATCAAAGTCTAATGTAAATAAAATCCTTAAATGCATCCTTTTATATAGGAAAACTAAAATCCTAAAACAAATAAATAATGACAAATAAATCTCAAAAGTTAAAAAATATTTAAACGATAAATACTAAAAGTATTTAAATAACTATTATAATTAATCTATAATATCTATCAAATTCCTACACGATCCCCATCATTCTCTTCCGGTTGAGAAAAACTCTTTTCCGGAGAGTCTTCAAAATAAAAGTACCCTAATAGAGCAGCATGAAGATGACAAAACGCCTCATCTAGAATAAAAGAATCATCAACATCTTTCCATCGATTAGAATAGATGCAAGAATCTCCATTTGTAGAAATACTAGATAACAAGATAGGAGGTTCTGGAGTACGTCGATTAAGTAGCATGTCCTCCAAATAAAAATTTGGACTAATACTAACATTTAATGAAAAATTAACCAAATAAGCAATAAATCCAAGTTCAAGAATAGGAAAATAATTCCCA